CCGTGCGCTTGCAAGGAAATAAAACTGTGGAAAAGGATGACGCAAAGTTGTTTTAGGGACGTTCTTGCGTCATCTGAGCCTCTGAAATAAAAGCATGTAGCAACTTCGGTAGACGAGGGATATCTCAAGGCAGCGAGTCGCCCAGCCTATTCCTAGGGGGCATTTGCACTGATGTCTAACTGAGATAATTGAGTTTTTACTACAGTGTTTCCATGCTGTGTATGTCGCAGTGTGAAATCCTTCTAATCCAATCTCTACACCGATTTAAATAGCTCGGCTTTCTTTTCAGTGGGCACATTAAAAAGTAATTGTCATGTCACTGAACAAGAACATCTTCTGTACCTGGGAGCGCTACTACCTGCATCGGCCGCGTTCGTGGAGGTCAAGATGGTGATGCAGGGGAGATCTGGTGGGCAATTTTTCCTTCTATGGACGTACGAGAATACCTTAAAGGACTGGTAGTAGGGCAGGCAAATCATTTAACCACTTTCTTGTACATTACAAAAAATATATAATGCTGCCTATATGTGTAGGCAGGAGAATCAGAAAGGAGAGCTGGCGAGAAAAAATATGAAATAGAGCAGCTCCGTTTCCTTATCCATCAAAGAGTAAAAGGAAAAAGAAGCAGAATAAACTGTGAATGTTATCAATAAGTAAAGTAGGGAGGAATTTCGAATAAGAGATTTACGCTCCTACTAACCTTTTAGCTGCATAAATTAACCAGTATCTATTTATTTATTATTAACAAGGGGGAATGAAATCGACAACTTTAGCAAAAACAGTACGAAATAGTAAATATAAGCTATTTCACAGAAACCATTTCAAACTTTCCCTCGAGAGACCTCATATAGGCTATTTCAAGCTTTCATTGTCTCTGATTTAGCACATTTTATTGTCTGTGCTAAAGCCACCAGAGGCTCTAGCCTCTGAGCTGGCAGCTGATTAATATGACCAGAGTTCTTTCACAGATTACTCTTAACTATAAAAGTTACATGTGTGTGAATACATCAAATATTTAAAAAGAGTAAGAAATCCAATTAAAAAGTCTATGTTTAAGCCAGGCTTCATTCTTTGTAAATGTTTATATTATCTAAACTTCTCTTGCTATAAACCAAGAAAATAAGTAGTTATCTGCTGCATTAGATGCAACCTACTCTGTTACAACTCCTCTCAGTACAGTCCAATACAAAGAAAGCTATACCAAATCTGTCCACTGAGGAGCTGCGACAGCAGTCGTGTGTCCCACAAAGGGGAGAATCAGGCCAGCAAACTTTCCCATACAGACATCCTTAATTAAGAAGCAGCAGTTAGTTTTCTAATGCACTTACCTAGTGATCACAGTTTCGTTTAATTTAGAGAAGGAGGTGCAAACACATATGAAAGCACACTGCTTCTCCAAGATGCTTATACTTCTCTGCACCCCCCTGCCCCGGGCAGCCTTTATAGGTCACTGTTTTATGAAGCGCCAACAGCAATTTAAAACTATCCTTCCCCAGAGAGGTTCCAGCAGAAGACAGCAGTGGAAATACTGCTTCCCATTGGTCTTCCAGTGGGTGGCAATCCCTCGGGCTTCTAGGAGGAAGATTTGGCACTTCCCCTGGCCAGAGGGTGTGAACCAGACCTACGAAAGGGCAAGGGCCTGCCTTTGTAGTCATTAGGTAGGTTAGGTCCCTCTATATAGGGACAGCAGAAGCAGCCTGTTAACTTGAGCCCGTTGAGTAAACAACAGAGCAAATATATTTTATTCATAGTACAGACACTCACAGTGCAAAATATAATGAGTTCTTATGATTTCTAACTCCTTGTTTATACAGGTTACTAAAATATGTGCTATGTATTTATTTTACAATACTTCACTGCTAATCCCCAAATAATTTTTTAAGAGCCACAATGTCAAATGCTGCCCTGTGGAGAGAGATTGAAGGAGACTCTGCAGCCCTTCCCCCTGCGTCTGGCTTTGAACAGGAACATCTAAGGGCAATGTTTGTTTATGCCAAGATACATAAAGTGTTCTGTTTGCTCTTGGTCAAACTGCCAGTGAAACTGCCAGACTTGTCTCAGCTTGAAAGCTTCCAAGTTCTATTTGTAA